CCCAGTAATCCGCCAAGTTATGAAGGGGTAAATCTCATCAAGTTAGACTTCGCCATAGCGATGAATATGTGATAAAGATAAGTGGAGTTGTCTCCATGAAGAGAGGACACTAGCCACATCCATGGCCTCTGATACGACAAGGTGTGATACCACTAACAAACGTTGGCCCTTCTTGTAGTACCCACCGTCAAAGGGTGGTCTTGGTTGTTGTTGCTTGTCGGGCGTTGCACCACCATGCACGGGCGACCGCAAAGGGACCATCGGCCGTTACTTGATGGATTTTTATCGTTGAAGGGTAGCCATCCCGTCCAATCGTAGGGTTGCACGTGTTATCAACCTCACGCTAATTGTACTGAGTTGCGCTAACTCCTTGTCTATTTCTGGAAGCTAGTGAGATAGAATATGTAGAGATTTGACCCTTTGTCCGTTGTCGAGAGCCAATGTAATGAAGATATTAGAAATGTGTAGCCTTTTGCCCATTGTTGGAGGCAAAGTGAGATAGTAAATTTGGCCCTTCGTCTATTGCTGGGAGCTGTGTAGATGTAATAGGATCAGCCCATTGTCCATCGATAGGAACCAATGATAGAGATAGGTAGAAATAGATTCTTTGCCCTTTGTCCATCATTGGGAGCTATACAGATCAACTCGTTGTTCATTGATGGGAGCTATGTAGCAAAATAGGCTCTTTATCCATTGCTTGGAGCCAAAATATGTAACAATGAACATCGCTATAAAAGACATGATGTCAAAAATGCTTGAGCATGTATCTATAGCAAGATAGGCTCTTTATCCATTGTTGGGAGCCAAAGTGATGTAGCAGTGAACGTTGTAGTAGAGATCATCATCGTAAAAAAAAATGCCTAGCCATGTTTTGCAAATAAATGTAGCCAGAAAAATGTAGCAGTAAATATTTGCTGTAGAGAATAGGATTGTCAAAAATGCCTAGCCATGTTGTGTAGATAATGTAGTCGTGTCTGGCCATGTGCAAGAAAATGCTGCTGAAGTAGCAAATGTTTGTATCCTTCCCAATGGAGTGGGTAAATACTACTTTTGGCAATGTATAAGAGAATAATGTTGAGTTGAGTACCTTTTTTTGGCAATGTTGACTCCATTGTAGATATCAGCAGAAAATATAATGTAGCATTTTTGTTGTAGAGATAACTCATGTGAACCCTCTGGTCAACATAGATGTTTTGTGAGTAATTCAACATGGCTAGAATAAAACTTTAGCTAAGAAATTTCATGTTGTTGATGAAGCTTTGACAAAGATAAATTCAAGTGTGGCCAGAGCAAAACTTTAGCCAAGGAATCTAATGCCAATTATGATGATGCTTCAACATGGATGAAATCAAGCATGGCTAGAGTAAGAGTCTAGCTAAGAAATTTGATATTGCTAATGATAATGCCCTGAGTGATGACTCTGAACATTGTAGATATAAGGTTGGTATGTGTTAGGTTCTCTTTGTATTTTGATGATGATTTTAAAACCATGATTCAAAAGTATTTAATCTATTTTTGTGTTAAGTGTGCAGGAAAATTAATCCAAGGTTTCTAATCTTTCCCCACGATTAGAATTAATTCATGTTCCTCCTTGTTCAGAGTTCTGGGTTCGAACCAATTTATTTTGGTTCGAATCAATCTCGGACTTTTGTTTTCCGAAAATGGTTCGAAGCAATATTTCTGGCTTCAAACCAAAAATTCTGGAAAGTTAATTTTGACAGCTCAACTATCTGTTTACTCTTAAAGGGTCATAGGGGATCTAAATGCCTTAGCACTTTCCAAGACAAGTTAGAAGAAAAAGGTGGAACCTTATTGGAGCTTTTGTGAGGTGGCTTTGAAGGGACTTTAATTGCAAGGCTCCAAATCTCTATTAAAATGACCAAAAATCAGATCTGGAAATATACAGAGAAAAGAAGGACGACTACTGCAGAAAATATAGTTTGATATTGTTCTGGGTTTCCTTCTTCTTTTCTTCTTGTGAGGCTTTTGGGTATATTGTCTTACAAGGGTTTTGTATTCTTCTTGGATTGGGTTAATCCTTGAAGGGGTTGAGTGAGTTGAGATTCACTTGTAACGGTTTAATCTTGCACCTGCAAGCAAGAGTTTGTTCCGGTTTAATCTTGCACCCGTAAGCAAGAGATTTCTAGTGGATTGGACTCTCGAGCAAGGAGGCTTGGGGAGTGGACGTACTTCGGGTTGGAGGAACCACTATAAATCACGGCTTGATATTCTCTTCCCTTTCTTTTTATTTTTCTGCACTATATTACTCTTGTTTATTCTGCATAATAACTTATAAATTGCTAGCTGGGATTACA